AGTGATCCTCATGACTCAGCTACTGTAGTAGCTAAGATTACAGGTGCATGCCACCACACCCAGCCAGGTTTTGTATTTTTAGTAGAGACGGGGTTTCACCATGTTGGCCAGGCTGCTCTCAAACTCCTGACTTCAGGTGATCTGCCTGTCTTAGCCTCCCAAAGTGCTGGGATTACAGGTGTGAGCCGCTGTGCCTACCCAAAAATTTTTTTTTTTTTTTTTTTTTTTTTTGAGATGAAGTCTCACTCTGTCACCAGACTGGAGTGCAGTGGCACAATTTCCGCATTTCAGCTCACTGCAGCCTCCGCCTTCTAGGTTCATGTGATTCTCCTGCCTCGGCCTCCCAGGTAGCTGGGACTACAAGTTTAGTCCCACCACGCCCGGCTAGTTTTTTGTATTTTTAGTAGAGATGGGATTTCTCCATGTTAGCCAGGATGGTCTCAAACTCCTGACCTCAGGTGATCTGCCCGCCTTAGCCTTCCAAAGTGCTAGGATTACCGGCGTGAGCCACCGCGCCTGGCCTATTTAGTTTAAGCTAAACAAAATTATTATGTGGCATTGATCATTTGGTGACATGGTATCTTGGATTGGATCCTGGAACAGAAAAAATATATTGATGGAAGAACTGGAGAGATACAAATTAAATCTGTGGTTTAGTTAATAGTGCTGTACTGGTGTCAGTTTCTTAGGTTTGATAAGTATATTATGGTTATGTAAGATGTTAGTATTCGAGGAAGCTGGGTGAAGGGTGTATGGGAATTCTCTGTTCTATCTTTGCAATCCTCTGGTAAACCTAAAATTCTTTTGAATTAAAATTTCTTTTAAAAATATATTTGAAATATAGCTTTTTAACATGCATTATTGTTACCAACAAACATTGAGCCATGGATAGTGTTGCTTTGCAATGTTAGAAACTAATTTGAAATGAAGAACCCACAATATTAAAATGAGCCTCTGGTTTTGTTTCAAGTGTAAAGTTGTGTGGGTCTCAAACCAGTATTTTAAAACTTCTTATTAAATATTTATACATACTTAGCAACTACTTATGAGATTTCTTATCTAATAGCAAAGCTACTGTTGAAGAAACTGCTACAGTATAAACCAGTGAAATCATTTACATAAAAGCATAGTAAAAAATCAAAGTGCCCTCTTTAGTTAGAAAAATCTTTTGGAAGACACAAAGCACAAAATGTTAGTGGAAATGATAAACCACAGGGTGATTGCTGAATGGGTTGTTGCTGAATGAATAAAAGTTGAGATGCTTCCAACATGATTCCGTAATTGAGCTGCTAGATTCTGTTTGAATAATGAAATACATGAAGAAATGCTTTTATATGGCTTGCCAAAGAAAAGATGTACCAGAAAAAGATATATTCTCAATAGTAAATGACTTCTATAATTTAAAAAATGAGGAAAGGGGGAATGGGGGTTTACCCATATGAGTCTAACCACTCAGGGAGTAGCTGCTTTGATGGAATTATAAAAGTAGAGACATCAGTCAGGCGCGGTGGCTCAAACCTGTAATCCCAGCACTTTGGGAGGCCGAGGCAGGCAGATCACGAGGTCAGGAGATTGAGACCATCCTGGCTAACACGGTGAAACTCCATCTCTACTAAAAATACAAAAAATTAGCCGGGCGTGGTGGTGGGCACCTGTAGTCCCAGCTACTGGGGAGGCTGAGGCAGGAGAATGGAATGAACCTGGGAGGTGTAACTGGTAGTGAGCCGAGATCTCGTCACTGCACTCCAGCCTGGGTGACAGTGCGAGACTCTGTCTCAAAGAAAAAAAAAAAAAAGAAGAGACATCAAGGGGAAATCCACAGGCATGGCCCCTCCTGAAACATCCGTTCGCTGCATCATCAGCCATATGAATATTATTGCTACAAAAAGTTGAACCAGAAATCCATAAAATGTTACAGGTGTCATCCGTGTGGTTACTTGATTGAAAAATAGAAGCAGAATCTTAATGAGATGGGGAATAATGGTGAAAATCTTTTGTGCCCTTGGAGGGTTAAAAGTTATTTCATGGCAAAGCACTTAAAAGTATTGTTAAACTTGAGATAGATAATGCATTATTCTTTTATAAATACAAAGGTTCAAATCTGGCTTTTTCTGAGGCCAATACACTATTCATCAGATATTTCCAAAACTATGTTTGATCTGTCCATTTGAGATAAAGGCGAGGAGAAAATAGTGTTACAATGAGGGAGAAAGTAATAATTCTTGAAAGAAATTCATGCTATGGAAAGAGCTCTTTGGAAATGCATGCTTGGAAATATTCTCAAATACACGCGGGTTTTGTTGCCAAAAACAATACAAAAACTCACATCTGTACACATTAAAAACCCTGGAAATATAATTTTCTAACCTGCCCCAGTTTTTTTTCTAAGTGAAAAATTTTATCATGTTTTGAAAATATTTGTTGGAAATACTAAAAATGTCAAATCTTTCAATTAGTTTGCAACAACCACTATTTGATAACCAGAAAAGCAGAAATTTACCAGCTCATAAGACACTTTGGCATAATTAGTGGATGGAATTTAAAAATCAGTATTATAGGTTATTAAGGATAGTTTTCTAAAAAGATACTTCTTGTATGTGAATCTACATACAGTATTTTTGTGAAGCATATTTGAATCTATTATAACTATTAAAATATACCAAACTTGGCCAGGTGCCTCATGCCTGAAATCCCAGGACTTTGGGAGGCCGAGGTGGGCAGATCACTTGAGCCCAGGAATTTGAGATCAGCCTGGGCAACATGGTGAGATTCAGTCTCTACAGAAAATACAAAAATTAGCCAGGCGCCAGGGCGTGCGCTTGTGGTCCCAGCTACTCGGCAAGTGGAGACAGGAGGAGGCAGAGGTTGCAGTGAGCCAAGATCCTGCCACTGTACTCCAGCTTGGGCGACAGAGTGAGACCCTGTCTCGAAAAAAAAAAGAAAAAGAAAAAGAAAAAAAAAAACATATATATATAGAGAGTGAACTCGAAATCAGTATCACAAATTGTGTTTGATATTGCTATGCCACAAAGTGTTAAACCAAGATTTTCACTAATCAAAAATTTTTAATCTTATTTCAACTTTTTTCTTTAAAAATTATTTAATTTTTATATTTTATAATGTTCATAATGTTAATATTTAATATTTAACATAAAATAGTAGCTATTAAAGCCTGGTGACATATAAATAAATATAGATGTTAGATATGAAATATTTTAAAAGTAAATATATTAGAAACACATGCTCAAAAGTTTTTTCTGACGGGGCACGTGATATGTGGTCTTTTACAGAGAATAGCCAGTGAGACACAGCAAATAAAATGGGTTCGTTTAGTTCTTTATACAATCTATCAGAGAAAATGTTCCCTACAATATACATGACATACCAATCCTAAAGTATGCATTGATCCTCTATTGCCAAGCAAGCCAAATTGGGAAACTAATTACATAAACGTTTTTAGAACTGTTCAAGAAAGTCGTCCATTTACCTCTGGTTAAAAGTCAAATTCCTGGAGCACAGCCCCAGAGATGCTGATTCAGCAAGATGAGTATAGACCCAAGAATCTAGATTTTTCAAAGCACTGAAGCAACTGCTAATTTTGAAGATGAGGAGAGGCAGATCTAGAGAGTTAACATGACTTGGTCAATGGTATATGGGGAGTTCACCAATCAGAGCCAGGGCTAGAGCCTCCCCAGCCCCGTTATTTCCCTGTGCAGCGCCCCCCTTTGGCACATCCTGCTCCTCAAATGAAACTCTGGTGCCTGCCTACTTAGATATTAGCAGATTGGAGGAAAGCAATCAAGGGGCTCCAATTTCAATATTTCAGCTAGAAACCACTCGTCACTTGCAAAATATCCTTTGAATTTTCTGGTGAGACTAATGGCCACAGCACTTTATAGAGCTAAAAACAAAAGGCTATTGTTGAGTTTGTTATTGTTGCCATGTTGCTAGGAGAGCCTCTGCGATGGAATGTGCCATTCAATACAAGCTTTGCTTCTCTGGTACAACCCTACCATGTGCAAGGGACATGGCCCAGGTGCAAGGGGAGTGAGACCATACATTGCAAGGCCAAGGCCAGAACAGCAAGAGAAACGGGAGATTTCCTCTTGGGCTTTGTGGGAGAAGAATCAAAGACTAGCACACAAGTCCTGAAATCACAACAGGGTTCTTCAAATTTAAGAAATAAGCATACATGAAAATTCCAAACGTTAAGCTGTTTTTGCTTTTGTGGTCCCTAAACTTGCCCATTGCTCATTTGGTTATAGCAAACAGCAATAGAATGGTCCTGAAATGTACATGACCGTACTTTGTTGGAAATAGGCCATGCCCTGGCCCCAAGTTTGATTTGCTACTCTTGGAAATACTCCAAGCATGGTGGTGGTATGAGAGTAGGATATTTGCCCAAACACCTAGTTGATCAGATCAGCAAATACAGGCAAAGAAGGTGGTAGATGAACAGAACTGGATACACGTGTGTAAGACAAGTGACAATGTCCTCAATTATATGCTGGAATGAAAAGCACGTGTCCACCACTTTAAGCACCTGAATTCCAAATGACATCACTTTCCTTTGTTATTTGCATGCTAGAAAATACACCTCCAAGGACAATGTGTGCATATATATACATATATTTCCAGGGTGAGAGAAAGTATGAAGAATAAAAGGAGAATTGACGTACCATTTAACATTTTTGAAATGTTTGAAAACTGCCATTGGGAAAATCGTATACCTTTTGCTTAAAAAAAATGATGCATTTTATTTAAAAATATTCCTGCATTTTTTATTTCAGGAGAAGGAGAGGTAAGGGCTGTTGTTTAATAAAACCTCCCAAGGCTGAGCATGGCTGTCATTTCTGGAGTCTTTCTGCTGAGGCCATTTCTCCTGTGACCATGGGCTAAAGGGCACAGCCGCATGCCCCCACATCTGCTTCTGAATTCTGAACACAGGCCAGAGGAGGGGAAGGGCAGGGTGTTTGCAGAAGCAGAGCCGACCCTTGGGTAAAAATGGGAAAACAAAGAGTGGTCAGGATAGATTCCAGAGTAGTTGGAGTTACAGGGAAATCTTCACTTCCAGTGCCCTCTAGATCCTCAGCACTACGCCCTGGCCAGCCCTGAGGTCGTGGAGCCCCCTCTCCTGCCCTGGACTGGCCACCCCTCTTACTGGATGAGTGATGTGCTCTGGCTCAAAGGCCAAGGAGGCAGGTGGAGGATGCCTGCTGTGGAACGTGGGTGCTCCCTCCATCAGCATCTACTCACTGGGGAGAGGATCTGCAGCCGTCACCTCCAGCCCTGGTCCTGGTAGAGCTGTTGAAGAAAATGGTAATGTCTGCATGGTCACTGGGACCACAACTCAAGGGTGGAGGGGACTGTAATGGGAAGTGGTGAGGAGGAGGCTCCAGGTTCCACTCAGCTGCCCAAAGGCTGGAGGGATAATCTACGACCCTATCCCTAAGGGAGGGATGAAAGCCTTTGCCCTCCATGAAAGGATTCGAGGGGCCTGAGGACCTTCTTAGTGGCCCTGAGGTCATGACGCTAGTTTGTGCTGTGTTGTGTAGGCCACCATTGTATTTTGCTATTGAGGGAAAACAGAGGCAGTGCAATGACTGAGGAAGAAGAAGAATGCAATTCTGTTGGGGGCTTGGAAATCTCCAGCAGGGGCCATCCACGGAAGAGGACACCCCTGGGCCAGGGGAGAGGAAAACAGAGTGCCCAAGGCCTCAGCTTCTCCACTAAGCACCTGTCTCCTCTGCAAGGGGAGAGGGCCACCAGCCGAACCAGTGTCACCTTGCCCAGATCCCAGAACTTGGGCTCCACAAGCAGCAGTCAGAAGCTTCTGGAGCAGCTCATAGACCCGACCCAGGCCCCCTGTACTCTCTGGTGGTCCTGTAGCAGCCTCCCGCTGGAACTGTCCTCTCACTGCTTCTGTAGAATTATGCCACAAGGGAGAAGCAGCTGGCAATACATGTGACTGGATTTTTCTTTTGTTTTGTTATAATGAGAAAGTGAAGGAATACTCGTGGGCCAATTTGTAGAGAGACAGAGAGAAAGAGAGAACATATTAAATATGCTATAAGGAAGGTGGTCTCTCATTTCCCTGCACATTGTTTGGCAAAGATGATGTCATTTCATTCACATGTCGAAAGTAATTGGTCCCTTACCAACCACCTATGAAATTAAGAGCATTTCACATAGATAGATGGAAGATTCAGGGAGCACGGTTTTCATTTATGATTATTTTAGTAATTTCAAAGTGAAACTTTTGCCAGACTAAACAACAAAGTTCTTTGCTTGTTTCAAGAGTCCTCTGAGTGTGAATCATGCCTTGATAGACTATTTTTTTTTCATTTGTAGTCTTCACTGAATCTCCAAACGATGGTACACCTAATTCGTCATCACCAGCAGGTTATTGCTGGAGATAGACAACGCAAATCCAAAGACTTCTTGCAAGGTTTTTCTGATGGAGTTCCTCAGACACTCTTTATTTTTCCAGTTCAGCTCACAGTCTTGGGTATCAAATGCTTTTTCTCACTCTCTAACTTTGTCCCCATCATTTCTAACAAAAACACAATTACATTTTGCTCTCAATTCAAGATTCCAGGGCTAGTAAGATGATACCAGGGTTGGGTATCCACTGAACAGGAATGGCCAGAAAGATCCAGGAACTGAAATTGGGTTAGCAGATTACAGCTTCGGTGACCCTGAGAAGTTGAGCCCCAAAACCATGGCTCTACCCTGAGCCATGAGAGGCAGAGCCAAGGGGTTTGGCATCAGGCAGGTATTGCAAACCCGAGAAGGCAATACCCACAATCCAGGAACTCAAAAATCAGAGATGCAGCTAGGTAGCAAACACAGGGTGTGGGAGCCAGGAATAAGCCGGGAAGAGACTGGGGAAAGGCGCCATGGTTGTCACATGCCTCCCACCAGGGCCAACTAGAATCCCAACTGCAGAGGCTAGGCCCATTGGCGACCCCAAGCAGCACCCACAGTCTGGAGTGTAAAAGTGGGTGGAAGCGCAGCCACCTGACAGCAATTGCAAGGGAGCAACTATTCCATGTTTCTTGATACATGCAGCAGTTCCGAGGTGATGTCCGTAAGCATTCTCAGTCTCATTGGGTTCTTCTGTACATCGACTGTAGTGACGCCTGCATTTCACAAAACATGTGAAACTCAAGGTGGCCGTGTACAAACATGAAGAAGAAGGGATGCAATATTCAGCTTATGTAGATGAAGATGAAGTATCATTTCATGTGGTGACAGGGTAGCTGGCAGTGGTAAAGAGTGGTGAACTTTCAGGGAGGCATGAAAAAAATTATTGTACATACAGCAGAAAGTCAGAAAGCAAAAATGTGAAGGTCCCAGGAGCTATTTTAGAGCAATGGCATTCTCTAACCCATGGCATTCAGAGAAATTACCATTTTTCTTTTCTTCTTTGACATTTATTTTAAATTCTGGGGTACATGGGCAGGATGTGCAGGTTTGTTACACAGGTAAATGTGTGCCAAGGTGGTTTGCTGCGCAGATCATCCCATCACCTAGGTATTAAGCCCAGCAGCCATTAGCTGTTCTTCCTGATGCTCTCCCTCCTCTCGCCCCCCACTCGCAGGCCCCATTGTGTGTTGTTCCCCACCATGTGTCAGTGTGTTCTCATCATTCAGCTCCTCCTTATAAGTGAGAACATGCCATGTTTGGTCTTCTGTTCCTGGGTTAGTTTGCTGAGGACAAAATGTGGCATGAGAATAACATGTAATAGGAGCACAACATGAGGCTTCTCGCTCCATCCATGTCTCTGCAAAGGACATGATCTTATTCCTTTTTATGGCTGCATAGTATTCCATGGTGTATGTGTACCACATTTTGTTTATCCAGTCTATTATTGATAAACTTGGCATTTGGGTTGATTCCATGGAGAAATGATCATTTTTCTAAGGCACTCTTGGATAAAGGTTTGCTTGCCACTGAAGGCAAGAGGTTCTGGGTTTCAGCCCTTGGGCACTTGCCTGGATGCCCTAAGTGTTAAACTGGGGGCTAAGGGTAGTCACTCTCTCCTCACACTTGGAACTCATTCAAGGTTCTAAGTTGAGGAGCTCAATTTTAGAAGACTGGGAAGGAATAAACAGAAATGAAGCATGTCACAATGGACTTTGGATCAGTGTACAAAAACCCATACCTGCTGTGGGCCAAACTCCACTTACACTAGGTGTAAATTCCTGCTCTCAAGGAGCTCCCAGAAGACAGAAAGAATGGAGAAAGAAAAGCACTTGTTATGACGAACTAACTGTGACCCACGGGGTGCGATGAGAAGGTGAGTTTATTCTATCGCCACCTCCTTTTAGAGCATTTGCTAAGGCCCACCCTTTCACAGCCTGGGGAAAACTCAGGGGCCCATAGCTTTCCTCATCACCTTTAGACATTAAAAGTGTCCTAGTTGCTTAAATCTCAAAACATCAGCTCTTTCCAGTAATTAATATGTTGAATCAAGTGTAATAATCAAAAGTATCATGCTTCATTTAAGCATAAAACTTCTCCTGGTCCCCCACCCCCATTGCATTGAGGATGGAGTGCAGTGGTAGTCATGGCTCACTGAAACCTCAAAGTCCCAGGCTCAAGAGATTCTCCTGCCTCAGCCTCCTCAGTGCTAATGGCTGCTGCAGCCAGGTGTTCACTCCAGCTGGTTTCTGAGTTCCCCAGGATCAGATCAGGGAGGAGAGAAGGAAGCTGAGCAAAGGCCTGGAGGCCAGGGTCGCAGCAGTTGGAGGCCAGGGTTGCAGCAGCTCTTCTCTTGTGCGGTGCCTTTACAGGTTCTTCTGAGACCCTCCAACTCTCCATTCCCTGCTGGGCCACAATCCTGGGGCTGTGTCCCCTGGAGTCCCTTGGGGCCCTGAATGCATCTCTTCTGGCTGCTTGCTTATGGCTTTTCCTCAGCCCCAGGGAATCTGAAGTCACTTCCTATTGGGGCTGCCTCACTCTCTATTTGGCTCCTCTTACTCCCTCCTTTCCCCGAACGGCCCTCACCATTCACGGGAAACACGACGAGTCCTTTGTACCCAACTCTGAGTGTGAGCTGACCCCAACACCACAGAGCAATCAACCAGCCAGGGTCCCCACTTCTCAGCCAGACACCAGCCCACTGCATCCCCCAAGCATCAGGAGGCACCCCTACACCTTAGCTTGAGGTAGGGCAAGTGACCTCATTCTTTTTTCCAGGTGAAGCCCACAGCAGAGCTTTCCTCCAAAAATTCCCTACTGTAAATTTCAATGCTTTTCTTGGCTTCTCTCTCATCTTTTATATAGTCTGGAGGTGGGTGGTTGGCTGAGAGTACAAAACTGGTTTCCATAAGCACTTTTTGCAAATCTTGCATCTCACTTTGGAATGTTCTATCTATTGCTTTGGGGCCTCACTTGAAACTGAGACTAAAATAATTCCAATTTAACACCTAGTATAGCAAAGAGCATCCCCCCTTTTTGTTTCAGGGCATAGCACATACAGAAAATGATGATATTTGTGTGGTGCTCTTGGGTAAATGGATGTGCTTTCCATGGTGAGAGCTAACTGGCCAAGAGCTCCAGCTGCTCCAGTTGCCCAGTGTGGTCAACTCAAGGCCTAGGGGTGCAAGCACAACCTATTTGCAACATGCCAAGTGCAAGGTCTTCACAGATTATTTCGAGACCTTTCTATTCCCCTTTCGCAGCTGGGCTATAATCCGGACCCACGCCTGTGTTATTTGATGTTGTTTGGGAAGCTGTGTGCTAGGCTGTGGACGACGCTGGGAGTGATGCAGAAGAATAAACTATTCATTCGAGCTGTAAGATCAGGCTGCCTGGAGGTGGTGATGCCTGAGCTGGGTCTGGATTTTGAAGGATGAATAGGAGTTCTCTAGGCAACTGCCTTAGTCTGTTTTCTGTTACTTAAAACAGAATACCTGAAGCTGGGTAATTTATAAAGAAGAAAAATTCCTCCTTCCTTCCTTCCTTCCTTCCTTCCTTCCTTCCTTCCCTTGCTCTCTCTCTCTCCCTTTCTTTCTTTCCTTTCCTTTCATTTCTTTCCTTTCCTTCCTTTCCTTTCCTTTCTTTCCTTTTCTTCCTTTCCTTCCTTCCTTCTCAGGGTCTCACCCCGTTGCTCAGGCTGGAGTGCAGTGGTGCAATCTTAGCTCACTGCAACCTCAAACTTGCAGGCTCAGGCAAACCTCCTGCCTCAGCCTCGCAAGTAGCTAGGACTACAGGTGGGTGCCACCATGCCAAGCTAATTTTTAATTTTTTGGCAGAGATGGGGTCTCCCTCTATTACCCAGGCTAGCCTTGAACTCCAAGCCTCAAGCGATC